GTTTCATGTTACTGCACAAATATCTCTTCTTCTACCATACTCTGTGCCACATCTGCGGTCTGATGAGACCTATGCACTTCTGTTGATGTGTTACTGTGGGAGGAATTTATCAAAACTGGAGCAGACAAAATCTGGAGCAGTTGTGCATGACAACCAATCAGCTTCTCTGTTCACTGTGTTCAGTTAAGATTTGAAAATGAAACAGAGAAGCTGATTGGTTGTGATGCACAGCTGCTCCAGATTTTGTCTGCTCCAGTTTTGATAAATTCCCTTCTAGTATAGGTATTACTACTGTACATGAAGGGAGTATGCGTACACTTATTGTGCAACATACATACAGCACATCCCTAAACCATAATATTTATTTCTTTTTCCTGCATTGTGGGTTGGAGATATGTTTTCTAATGTGAGTGTAAACAATGTTACTCTATGTTTTTCATACAATAAATCATGTGGATTTCAATGTACGCTTCTTTAATTTTTTTATTACACTAAACTTTATTGCTATCACATAAGGATCTAAGAAGCCCCCTATGTGATAGCCAATTTACATGACAGGTCCTCTTTACGGAGACATCAGGGGTCTCCAAGACCATTAATGTCACCTAGAGACCCCCAGAGAAGCTGATGAAGCAGATATCTACTTCTCCCCAGCTTGTGCAGCTGGGAATGACAGCTGAATGTGGAAGTGATGTAATATACATCACTTTCTGCATTCGGGGACTGGAAAGGAGGGGGATCGTATACTGATCTCCCTTTGATCTCCTGTGACAGAGCAGCCATGGGACCGGCGGCGGCTGTGGGGGGGTGGGATGAGGCACCTAATACAAACGATCGGGCCATTTGCTTGACTGTAAACAGCCATCACTGGCTGTTTACATTTTTGACAGTGTCCCCACTTGTGTGCGCTCTGAGCGCCGCACACGAGCGGGGGGAGGGGAAATACATCTAAAGACGCCCACCCGCTCCTATAAGGTTCCTGTTCGGCCGTTTACCTAAGGCCAACGAACGGGAGGTGGTTAAAGTGATAGTAAACTCAGGAGTTAAATCTTAAAAATGCATTCAAGCCCCTCAACTATTAACAACAATGTATCTTATTTGTGTATCACTGGGCTGTAGATCCTCCAATCATCTCTGAATTGGTGCTGACACTGTGCTTACTTCTGGAGGGTGACTACTTTTCTTGCCCATGGTCCCTGTGTGTGTTGTAAAGTAACCACCACTCCAAGCTCGCTCCTGTGAGCTTGGAGTCCTGTAATTAACTAACCCTCTGTTCTCCTCAGACCACCCCACCCAGGAGACCCGAGGCGTGTTCAGTTGCTCAGCCGCTGCGAGTGCTTCGAGTTTGCAAACCGCCGCTAAACACTGTGCTGCAAGTCAGCGCCCAGCACTGCGAACTTAGCACGCGCAGCAGAAGTGAGTGTGAATGCAGAGCGCTGAGTGTGATGGATAAGGTAGGGACAGAGCACTAGCAGCCATTTTAACTGTGGGCACACCTGGCAGCGTTGGAGAAAGGTGCCTGAACCCAGATGGAGGAAATCAATTCGGTGTGGGAACCTACAATTTAGTGTTTTGGTGGACTAGCACACCAAATATTCATAAATATTCATTGGAAAATGTTATTTATTAGGCAAAAATATTGTCCTCCGCCAATTTGGCATGCAGAACAGCTACTCAGCTCTTGGCTAAGGAACTGAACACACCTCAGATGCCAACATCATTATGCTCATTTCTGGCATTCCCCCCCCCCCGTTAAAAGTAGCTCCTTGCTGTTTTTATGATTCATTTTCTCCATGCAGGCACCTCCCTCCTGAGGAAGCTTTATTAAAGGAAAACTATGGGGTTAGGGCTTTTCCCCATAGTTCTCCTAAGGGTAACGGGAGGACACAAACTAGCGTCCTCCCGTCACCCTAAGCTCAGTATACCGCGAGCTACAGCACACATGCAGCTGAAACGGATCCCGACAATTATGTCTGGATCTGCCCAGCTGCGTGAGTGACAGCTGGCTCTGCCTATCTAGAGGCAGAGCCAGCTGTACCCGCCCCTCCACCGTCCGTTCCGCCAGTCAGCGCTGGAGGATCAGAGCTGGGAGAGGGGAATTCATTCCCTACCCTGCCACAGCTCTGTGCCATGACAAGTTTGGGAGGTGAGCGAACGCTGGGATGTGTTCGCTCACTTCCCGATCTACTGAGCCGACCTGTGACAGTTTCATTGTCACAGGTCAGCTAGAACTATGAGGATGAGTGAAAAGCATAGTTCTCCTTTAAGCAAAACGCATTGAGAGCAAGACATAAGCCATCGACATTAATGTGACACAAGAAAACAAAGATTTTTGGCTCCTCATATAGGACTATGGGAAAATACAGTATATGATGTATAATGCTGCCTTTGGTAGAGACTGATAGTTTATAGGAGGTAGTCCACAGATGTATTCACACGTTTAACCGGTTCTAATAGGTGGTCTTAAACTGTCTTCAATAAACGTTTCATGTTTTTATACGCATTTGTATGTTGTAAACTTTGTTGGGGGCAGTTACCAATAAAGCCCCATTGTGTATTATTCTTTTGTACTATGTCACTGTTCTTCATAAGATAAAAAAGTTAATTTATGATTTTATTGCATTGGAGCCAGGGAAGCATTGCAGGCTCCATCACTGGATCATGGATGAGATGCTCTGGCTCCTGCAGACTCTCCCACCCTGTACTAAGGTATGGATGTTTAGTAACATGGATCAATGGACTTTAGGTGCAGTAAAGTCATCACGCTTGTGTTCCATTGAGAACGGCAAGTCTCTCTGCTGCTGTGGCAGACTTGGTTTCTCCAGTCACAGATCCTGTTGATTTCAAAAAGGGAAACAAGCCTGCAGGGAGATTAAAGGGTGTGGTCACTGAGGGGCACTGTAAAGCTTTCTCGCACAGGGCGCCTAAAGGCCTAAGGCCGGCCCTGAGAAGAACCCTGTGATCCAGGTCAACGGGGTGTGTGGAAGGGGGGTTGTGAGGTGACCATGTTTCATGAATATGACTGTAGAATGAAATATGGTCAGAAAGGTCAAAATACCATTTAAAGGGATAATAAATGAAAAGGTTTTTAAGCTATATCAAATGCTGATGACATCACTTACAATAAATGCTGCTCTTGGATGTTTAAAAGTTTTAGTTTCCTGCAGAATCAGCTGCTCCCCTGAGCACTGGTCCTGACTTCCTGTTTTAGAGCGACTCCTTTCTCAAGCAGAGTGCTATGCAGTCACCCTTGTGCGTGCTATTAAGTTGTATGTGTCTCCACAAACACACAGACACAGCAAGGCAAGACACTTCCCTACTCTCCACTCCTCCCTCTTCCCTTCTCCTAGCTAGTAGGTGGAAAGCTATTGGAGTCGGCTCTGTTCCTTGTGATCTTTTAGGCCCCATTCACACTAAGCAATTTCCGCCGCGATATCGCACATTTTTGCCGCGCCATATCGCGAGAAGTTGCCGGCCAATGATATTCAACAGAGCAGTTCTAATGTACAGCTCCATGTCGCCCGTCGCTGTCGCTTGTGCAGGACCATTTTTCCCGCGGATTTAGCACGATTTTTCTATGTTTTAATGCAGCCCGACGGTGAAGGTCGTGCGATCGTCGCTGGAACGCCGCCCGAACAGTCGTGCTATTCCACCGCGAGGAAATCCGCTCGAGGTGAGTGTCGCTTAGTGTGAATGGGGCATTAATGGACAGGAACAGGACGCCTGGGATTCCCGCCACAGGGAATTCTTGCACAGGAATCCCAGATTGCCCCATGTAAACAGAGTCTTAGAAGTAGCTAATACATAGAATAACAGCTTTATGGTCTTTATGCAGGCGTTTCAACTAAAACACATTGGAAACAAAATAACTGTATCAATCAAATCTGTCTGACATTAGCCACTTCAAGACCAGGGTGTTAAACCTCCTTCCTGTCCAGGCCATTTTTCACTATTCAGCGCTGCCGTACTTTGACATTTATTTAGTTGTACTGAAATAAATGTTATGTCATTGTTTGGGAACACATAGGGGGGAATTTATCAAAACTGGAGCAGACAAAATCTGGAGCATATCTTACCTGAGAAAACTGATGAGAGATGCTGATTGGTTGCCATGGGCAACTGCTCCAGATTTTGTCTGCTCCAATTTTGATAAATACCCCCCCTAGAGCTT